TAAAACTAGTTAATGAAGGAGCTGAACTGGTAAAACTAGAAACATAGTTATTATCGTTTTTATCACTAGACGAAGTGTTTAACGAATTATTGAATGGCGGAATTTTCCCGTCAATTTGCATCATATTGGAAGCAAAAATGATATACATGTTCGGATTGCTCGCAACAATTGCAGAACCTTTAATTTGAAACGTATTAAAGTCATTCGTAAATGATGATGGTGATGACGTATTATTATTTTCTATATGAGATACAGGGAATTTACGATGAGATTTACTATTAGGTTTTTTATATTTTTTACAATTACCGTTACGGGTTTTTTTATATTTTTTATGATTATATTTTTTGTGATGGTGGGATTTTTCGTGTCGATTTGAAATACAGTGTTTACGTTGTTTATGAAGTTTTAGGGAGTATCCTTTGTTATTATGATTATTATGTCGTTTTTGGGTTGGGTTTGAAGAGAGTTGTGATTGATCCTCTTCAACTGTTGTTCCTGGTGGTGCGGACCATTGATAGATAATTTGAGATGCTACAATATAAAAAAATTCACGCAAAATTTTAATTCACAATTTATTTCCCAGACCATAAAATAAAAATCAACGTACTATTTTTAAATCCATTAAAATCGGTAATCGTCGAATTAGGATCACCATAACAACCCTTTATATATGCGTGATGAGGAATTGGTGTGAAGGATCCAATATGTTGTTCTTGTTGAGTACTTGTCAGCTCTACCCATAAAACAATTCTTGTAATTTGATCATTTTGAGCATCAACTTTAAAGACTATTCCCGTTGAATTAAAATCTATTATTTCAACTTTTATTCCTTCATTGCTTATGTTTTTTTTATCGAGTAATGATATGCTATCAGTACCGGCTATATTGTAAAGAATGAAACTTTAGTGCATTGTTTTCGAGATGTTAACAAAAAAAAGATGCGTGTTAAATGCTTACTAGATGTGCAAATTTCACTAAACATACTGTTAACACCCAGTGTTCCAAGTACAATTGTACACAATACAACCAAAAATATTTTCCATAATTTCAATCCCATTATAATATTATTAATTAACTAACAAATATTATAATATTATTAATTAACAAATATTATACGTACAGTATTATTATTAATTAATTAACAAATATTATAATATTATCAATTAATATAAAAATGCACTTTAGTGTTCAACACCCTATATGCTTTATTATACTGACGACTCTAGATATAACAAATCTATCTATAACGAACTCAATTTATTAATTTTATATTAGTTCGGTATAAAAAGTGCTATGTAGTCTTAAGAAAACATAGTAATTTCTATAACGAACTTTTGTTTTCTTTCAGAACCATCAGTTCGAGTTGATTATATTAATTTCTATCCCTCCCTATTTTCTTTGATTCTATACAGTAAGAAATACTATCATCCGTTAAAATAAATCCTGTTTCAAATTATTTACCCTATTTAAATAATAAGTTTACTCTCACATTTTATAATAAGTCTCTTGATAAAAATTTTGATCGATCCCATATATAAACATATCTTTTTTGTCGTCTTTATGGAAATCCATTAAATTCTCATTTATGATCTCCCATTTATAATATCATTGTTTGAACTAAATAACGTTCCTTCCTATTTTAATTTCTTTTTAGATCTACTGTCTTTCAAACAATTATGTTTTTGATATAATACCATGTGAAGCAGGTCATATTTTGTTTCATCTTAATTTGTCTTACAATAACCTATTTTCTGACCGTTTAAAATTTATAACTATAATTTTAATTTATAAAATATTCATATATTATAAATTAAAGTTATGACTTCACATATCCTTTCGATTTTCATTTCACTCAATAAACTTTATGAATATTTATTGCAATTGGTGAGTTTATAAAATTATTTATCAAAGATCCATAACAAATATATAATTTATATATTATTAATTTTGTCATTAAAATTAAAAATTCAATATGATACACTATATTAATAAAACAAAAGGTTTTAAAAACTTAACGTTAATTGCTAATCAAATAAATTACCAATCTAAGATGGTAGGCCAAATACTGATTAGGAAAAAAAAAAAAACCTTTTTCGGAATATAATCTGTTTTGCTAATGTTCGTTAATTTCATGAACTTTATGTAATTTAGCCGTGATAATACGTATATAGTTATTGAATGCGAAGTATGCTATATTTTATGGCGAGATGATGATTGGTTGGTAACCCAGCCGGAACGGTACGGTTGACGATCAGAAGAGAACATAAAATACAGCAGTTGGTGCTTACGGGAGCAGGCAATAACGGTTTTATTCAATTATTTACTATCGGTTTATGAAATAAGATCAATAATTTTATCATATAAAAATACCACTTATTTTATAGACTTATCGTAAAACACTGAATAATTCATGCATATTTAATAGAGATTGTAACATAAGTATTACTAATTTGCCCGATTGGACAAAATCGACTATCCTTCAGTCGATTTTAATAAATATCGGTATATTTTTAGAGAGTCCCTATTTCCACCATATTAATTTGCTATATCCACCATGTGGCCGGAGTTAGAATTAGGGTTAGGGTGAATCGCATTTTGTAATGTTTTGATTTACCTGATTATCATGGTGAAATACGTAGCAAATTATCATGGTTCGTACAACTTATAAAAACTTAGAAAACTTAAAAAAACATATAATTTTTATATTAACAAAAAAGTAAAGGTTATGTAAAAGGTATGCAAATCAAAATATTTAAGTAATATTCTATGATTGCCCAAATATACGTAGTATTAAAACTCTTCTGAACATATTTTCCATTTACTATTTATCGTGATTTGATTGATTGATTGATTGATTGATTTGATTTATTCATAAACAGTCGTCCCTCTATATAATCACACAGTTGGGCACATAGTGTTATTATTTGAAAATCGTAACTTCTCTGATACAGGTAAGATCAAGTATCTGTACATATTTAGTAATAACGATAGTTAAAGCCCCTTTGCTTAAATCTGCAAGGCTGTGTATATATTAGCATGAGAATAGCATGATAGCACGAAGCCTCTTGTGTTAGTAAGTAAGTACTAGAAAGCAGTGTTTAAAATTCAAAAAAAAAAAATTACTTGCACAAATGCATTTTGTGCAACTATTTTTAAAAATTTTACTTGCACACTTAATGGATTTTTAAAAAATCTAAAAAAATCTAAAAAAAATTCTTGCACATGTGTATCTTGTGCAAGCTAATTTTAAACACTGTTAGAAAGTATATACTTTTCCTATTGACTAAAATGTATAAAAGCGTGGATAGAACTTTTAATAAACGAGACAGAATTAAGACCTCGTAGCTAATAAATAAATTCACATGATAAAGTTTAAACAATGATCATACTTTTATTAAAACCAAACTATCATTGATGTTTGAATTAATTCCTTCCACTTAACCAAGTTAACGGCTGAAGCTAAACCGCGCATATATTTGCATTGCTCTCCTATTCAGTCGTTACAATAGTAAGTTATTTAAAATATGCTTATAAAGAGGTTGGGCTTATAGAGGGCTTTTTATTATATATTAAATTAAAGTATAGTTTAAACATAAATGTGATAACCTATGATGTGGTGATTATATGAAGAGTTGATTGTATTATTATAATTGTGCATAGCGATAGGCAGTGTTGTACATGGACAGCCTTTGGACAAGATTTTGGACATTTTGAATATTTTGAACAAAAAAATAAAATGAATTTACTTAAAATTTTATTAAGATAATCTATTCAAATCTTTTAAGCAAAAATATTTAAAATTAAAAAAAGAATATAATTATATAAATTTTAGAGTATTGTAATTTGTAACGCACCCACCTGATCGACCAATCAGAATTCAAGATCAAGTATAATGTGAAAATCAAAACAATCACGATTTTTTAAAGAAATTGCTTGTAACTCAATTTTTCATTTATAAAACCTCCTTTCGCGTTCTAGTAAAAAAAATTCCTTACAAAATTTTGAGTTAGAAACATTTCGCTATATTGTTCTTCTCTAACTCTAATGTAGCCCTGACCCTAACCTAAACTAACGTGAAAGAGTTTGTTTTGATTTTCATGTTACATGACATGATTAGGTAGGTGCGTTACAATGCATCTGCGCAAAATGATTAAATCCTAAATTTTATTTTTATTACTAAAATATTTAAGGCTATAGACCTTTGAACACTTAGACATTTGAACATTAGACATATCCAAAAAAGCTTTGGACATGCCAAAATGTACAACACTGGCAATAGAAGTTAATTTAGATAGTTTATCTAATATAAATACAACAAACCGTATAATAAACCAATCTTCAAAAAATGTTAGTCAATTATTAAGACTCATGAAACAATAAACTTTGGATACTACGATGGAAGATTCTATTACCACCAATACTGCTGTTACAGAAGGTAGTTTATTTAATAAAATTTTTTTTTAAAATCTAACAAGTTTATTAACAACTAGAGTTATTATTTTTAGAATCTAAGCAAAAGCAAAAGAAAAAGGATGATTTGTCTTAGCAAGTATTACTTTTCTAGTCTAATCATATTTATTAATGTATCATTATTACTTTAGTTACTATTATAGAAAATACTTCTGATGCATTAATATCAAATTTGGATATAAATGAATTAAACATATATACTAGTTTGGAAAGTTCAGAACAAAAAACTACTTTTTTAAATATGTTCAATAAAAGAAAGGAAAAGAGGAAGAAATTAAAAAAGAACAGAATAGAGAGGTATATTTGTTTTTATAAAGTATGTTTGTTATTAAAGACTTACTAAAATTAAATATTAGTTTTTGCGTTGTTTTTTTTTCATCATTAAAAAAATAGAGATTTTATGTAAATCTTATTATTGCTATGTTTATAGTAGCTGCAAAAATTCACCAAAACCAAAATTTGTATGAATCACAAGTTTCACAAATGCATCATGTAGCTTTGGTAAATAATTGTATTTTTATTTCAATTAATTTTCATGAACCTCAACATTATATTCAGCATGAAAGATGTATTGCAAGAGAAGCTATTTTGCATAATATTGAAGTCAAGAAATATAACTAATAAAGGAGTATAAAGACTTTGAAAAAAGAGGTAATGTTATAATTAGAGTTGGTCAAATTACTGGTCGACTAAAAATTTGTTGGTCAAACTGGTCTGATCAAATTGGTAAAATGGTTTGGTCAAATAGTTTAACCTATTAAATAAATAATTTTAATATATGAATAAATAAATAAATATATATATATACTTTATATATTATTTGACCAATTTGACCAATACTAAACCCTTTGACCAACTGGTCAAACTGGTCTAGTCAAGCTTGACCATTGACTGGTCTGTGCCAACTCTGGTTATAATATATTAAAATTTATATTTTTCTAATAATTTATTAAAATAAATGCGACTTAAATATTATTAGAACCTCGTGATTTAATAATTGATTTGGTTGTGAAGGATGACCAGACTCAACTGGCGTTGTCAAGTATTGAGAATAGTCAGTGTCAAATTTTTGTTTTAAATATTCTTTTATTTGTAAAACTCTAAATTTTATAAGTAAAGATGAAATTGAAGATGATTTCATTACCATGCAGTTATGTACATAGACAAAACCGTTATCAGTTTCTATCATTTTAATATAGAATTTTTAAGAACATACAGGCAAAAATCTCTAGTTAAAAGTAAGAAATAACATATTTTATTATCATTTGATTTATTGAATAGTACTGTAATTGTTGGTTTAAGTATTATTCATTATTATAAAGTTATCTCAAAATTTGAAAAAACTTTATTGCTTTAAATTTTATATATCAAAATTATTATAAAATTGTAAAATGTCTAGATATTCGTTCTCTAATTGTAAAAAAATTTTTTTTTTGTTTTCAAAAATTTGCCTGTTTTCTATTTCATATTTAAAAGTAAAATCTAAAATTCAATTTTAAATTTTATTTTTTTTTTTCCAACTTGAGCGATCATGCCCGAAATTTATTGAAAAGAAGTATTTTTAAAAAAAAATACATATAAG